CGGAGAGACACTCAATGCAAGATCGTTGAAAGTATGAAAATGAAACAGCCGTGGGGCAAAGAAATTCCATTACATGAAATTTTTTTTAGAAAACCAGAGAGATCTAACATCCAAAAGGTAGCGAACGCTATGTTGTTACAAAGTAATTTTGAGGACACAATGGACGTGGAAGTGCCCTACTGATTGTGTAAAACGCCATTCATCGCTAATAACAACTCCAGAAAACTGTATGTAATAAAATAGTATGTAAAAAATCTCGCTGCTTCAACAACTATGCATACTTCAGTAAGAAAACAGTATTTAAAGGTGAAAGGGTACAAGGAGTAATCGAAAAAAAAAACATGATTGAAATGCGAAATAAGATCTGTAGACATAATGACTTAACGGTGGACGCCAATGTTAATTCTAAAACTAACTCAAAATGCCATAGGCAGAAGAAAAGCGATTATAATGATGAATATAACAAATTAGCAAATAACGAGGATCCAAAGCGGTGCGGAAGAAGCTTATTTTTTAGTCGAAAGGACTTAATGAAACCCAAACACTACTAGTAAAACACCATTGAAGTGAAGAAATAGGAGAATATGACAAATAGGTCAAGAGGTTATTTAGAGGAGACTGTAATTTGAACGTTCACAGGGCGAGATGGTAAAGCCAGTGACAGAACAAATGCAACCTTTCTGACCATAGAGACTTAGGCAGTTCAAGATGACAGAAAGAATGCAAAGCTAGCAGTTTCTCCACGTTCAGCACATGGCAACGATGGTTGAAATATCTACACGAAGGGACTTAAAGAGGAATAAACTAGTTTCAATCAAAAAACCTTAGCTATTTTAACAGCGCTTCCTGTCAAAAAAAAAACAAGCTTAAATAAAGAACATGAATAGCGGCTACGTAGTGAGCGAAACGTGTTCTATGTTTCTCGGGCAACTTTATAATGCTCTTTGTTGTCAAAACCGAGAACTCTCTCACCCCACGTGAGTTATAACAAAAAAATTTACTGCACTCACTACAAATCAAACTCTTGCAATCACATGAAATCAAGCCTTAAATTAAAGACAAAAACTATTGCATTGCCAAATTAACTATCTCATTTGTTCTATCAATTCAAAATTTATTGAGCAACTCGCAAATTAATGTGTAGAACCAATCAACGAGAAAGTACGTTTGCAAGTCTAGACTCCCTATATAAAGTTGAAATTTTGAAACTCATACCTCAGCGGCCAAAGCGCGATTGCATGCAAGGAAATAAGCAGCTTTTGCGTATTCCCTTAAATTTGAGTATACGGTTGCGAGGGAGTTGTACGCTCGAGCCTGCCCTGCAGTGTCGTTCATGCATCGGGCCAACGATAGGTGACGAAGGTGATATGTTCCAGCTAAAACTACGAGACTAAAAAAATGTGAAATGTAAATAATCTATAGCACAACCAGTCCCTTACAGTCGTCATACGAAAGGAAAACAAAAAAGCACAGATTACGATGATTCAAAAGTAGTGTAAACGAAAGGAACGCTACTAGACTCACCGGAAGAATACTGGCCCAAAAGAGAGGAAGAACAAGCAATATAAAAACAGCATTGTGCTTCACGCACTCTGTCACCTTTCCCAACAGCTAAGCTTAAGGCTGACCTGAAGGAAAGAAAGATGCAATGCACTTTCTACTAATACAACAGAAGTAATAAACACTTACATGTAGCACTCGATGCCTTTATCGACTTCTGATAACAAGACATGAGCATTTCCAAGATTAATATAAGCTCGGTACTTTGCGATGTGGTCGCCAAATTGAGAGGCTATCATTAGTCGCTGTAAACAAAAATGTGTCAAAAAAAAGGTTGAAGCTAAACTCAAACATGTTAATGCAACTACAAAGCGTATTTAACGAGCGAAAAGAATTAGATGTTCAGACAGTACGACTTGTAAACAACACTGTAAGCTTCCAAAACAGCGTAGCGAAGTATCACAATTCATTGCCAATATTAGGATGATGAGAGAAGAATGTAGATAACAATATTCTTCGATGTGAAGTGATCGACATAAGATTTATGAATTGGGGAAAGCATCACATAATGATGAACAACTAGAAGAATAACACACCTTCTCATGGCACTCTATAGCTCCTCGGTAGTCTCTTAGAAGGTGGAGAACATTTCCTATACAACCAAAAAGCCGACCAACATTAGCGTGGTCCTTCAAAGCACGTGAATATTTTGA